ATGTACTGAAGCGTCTTGCTGGTAGCGTATGGGGCTGTGCACGCTCAACTCTCAACACCACTTACAAAATGTTTATTCAGCCAATAATGTTGTATTGCTGTGAGCCACTCATTACAGCCACAGAGGTGATTCTCAAACCACTCGAGAAGGCACACAACCAAGCATTACGACTAATTACTGGAGGGATAAAATCAACACCCATTGATGCAATGCTCCTAGTTACAGGAAGCACCACAATAGGTTCCCTTATCAAAGAAAAGGCCTTGATCCTGTATGAGAAGCTACTTCGCATTCCCATGGATAAATTCTTCAGCACCTATGAGAATAGACCAAGACATCTGAAAACGCAATCTGGTCTAATACAGAAAGCCATAGAACTGAAGAAAGAATTACAAATCGATGACAAACCAAAACCCCCCCCCCCTCTACCCACGAACCCATTTGCAGACACTGATGTTGTGTGTTGCACTCAACTACTTGACTACCTCAGGAAAGCAAACACCCCTCCGGAACAAATACGCTCAATGGCCCTTGAGACAATCAATGTTAACTATCCTGGAGATCAATGGCTCCAAGTCTTCACTGATGGGTCTTACATAGAAAACTAAGCAAACGTTGGTGCAGGTGTCTACTCTGAGCTCTTCTCTTTCTACGCAGCTGTGGGACACAATTGATCTGCTTTTGCAGAAGAAATAGAGACCATTAGGATAGCACTATGCCAATTATGTTGCCTGGTTATGAAATTGACCAAAGCGGTGATACTTTCGGACTCACAGTCAGCAATAAACTCAATTGGAAACAGTGAGCCACCCAAAACAGCTGAGATAAACGAATGTAGAAAACTCTATCAGCTGCTGAGAGAAAAAAACAAAACAGTGGTCCTACAATGGATTCCTGGTCACTGTGGCATTAAAGGCAATGAGCTTGCTGACACACTTGCTAAGAAGGGGACAACGATTTTGCAATGCAGGGACCGACCGTTGTCTTTCCACACAATGAAGACCTTAATCAGGAGAGAATTCCAGACCTCAAGGTGCAACGAACTTAAAGCTCGAACAAAGGAGAAACAGTGGACAGTGGCACTCTCCGACACACCCGACTGGCCAAGAATCGAAGCCGTTGCTGAGTTTAGACTACGTACCGAACGCGATTGCCTGGCAAAACACCTTCACAGATTAGGAGCATACACTCAACCCACATGCCCCTTATGTAACCTACAGGAGGAAATGGAGAAGACCCACCTGATTCGGGGTCCAGCCCTACAGGCAACGACGGAAAGCCAGAGATACTGGGAAGCAAGAAGACAGCTAATGAATTGCTATTAATTAACTGCTATAAATGTACCCCCTCCCTCCCTTGGGGGAAGCTGAAGTCAAAGTTTGCTAGATGTGTTAATTTAATGCGTAACGGTAGTTCGTTACCAAATAGCACATTGAGATAATCATACTTGATTAAATGATTTTATTAATTGAACGCAGTCCATTAACTACACTGGGGGTCTCTAGTGCCTCTTGAAACTTAAAATCACATTTAAACTATCCATGAACTACGACGCTGCCTACGGAAAACCCTTAATGCCATTTAGCATCGCGCGCACAAAACCCAGCTTTACCTCATAACCTCTAACAAAATAGCCAATATACCACGCTAATCAAATGTGGTCCAGTGCGTGGCCAATGTTTGATTTGCTTGACCCGTCTCAATCTTGACACTACTTAAATTTGAGATAGCAAGCCGACAGATAAGTGCGCCCACTTAAATACAGTATATTCTTTGTTATCTAATGAAAAATTAGCAGTTTCGAACAAAACGATTTCACAGGGAACAAGTGAGGGCTAATAATTACCAGCCATTACGAATTATTACAGTTCCCAAAACCAAGGCTAATAGTTGACGCATATAGATAATACCCATAGTCAAAATCGCAGCTGAAGGAGTATATTTCCCACTTCTATTCCAATGTAAACTTATGCGCAAAGCATCGTGATCATAAAATACCGACTAGAAAATCAAACCTATTCGGATTCGTCCTAACAAACCTAAATTGTTCTAAAAATCCTAGGATTACACTAAACCAACGGAATCTAATCTCAGCATCCATATTATAGGAGAAACAAGAAATGGCCTAGCATTTACACATAACACAGCTATCAACCAATTTAATAAATTAAATCAACAATTTGTAAAGTATAATCAAACAAGTTGTCCCAGAGTAACTACACTAAGCACTTACAAAAAATGGGATGAGGCAAAAAGCAAATAAACACCTTATGCTTGTATTTATATAAATGGTCTACTGCATTTTCAGCTTTAGTTCCTTGGCCTTAAGCCGTTCGATCTTGGCAACACGTGCCTGAGACTTGGATCCCATGACGCCACCGCCCCAATGTCTGCGAATCTAAAGAAGTAATAGATAGTAAACTAAATCGAAGCATACCTCATCAACCCGATCGTTGAAGTTCGTCTTGACCATTTGTGCCACTTTGGCGAGACGCGGTTTGTCTTCACTAGAAGGAAATATTACATTAGCATATACTGAGCACTTACGCTCTGACTTTAGTGAATGCCACACAAGTGCAGGTTTTTCGATGAACAATTCGTCCAAGACGGGCCTTTCCTTTGACGATGCAGTAAGGAACATTCATCTTTCTGCAAAGCGCAGGCAGGAAGAGAACAATTTCAATTGGATCAACATCATGAGCAATGACGACCAATTGAGCTTTTTTGGCCATAACTGCTGCAGTAACTTCCCGTATGCCGGCCTTGAGAGTTGGCTTTCTTTCAACCGGAGCATCAGGAGCTCCACCAGCCCGTTTCTGAGCACGAAGAGTAAGTTGTGCCTTTTTGGCTTGCTTGGACATGGGCTTGTACTTGTTGCAAAGTCTGAGAACTTGAGAAGCTAACAAAATTAACAGTGTGGAAAAATTATCATACCTTCAGTACGTCCGAGGGCAGCGTTAAATTGGTTGATAGGTGGGGGGATCTTTAGGCGCTTCTTAAGAATTGCCTTTTGTCTTTGAACCTTGACATACACTGGCCACTTGACAAATCGAGAAAGATCACGTCTTGGTTGGATTGATTGACCAATGCCAAAGTTTTTTGGCCTCTTTTGTATTAAGGGATTTTTCTTCTGAGCCCTTTTAGCAACAATGGCTTGCTTCTTCTTGGCAATCTCAGGAAGGTCAGCAACTTTGGACTTCCCCTTGCCTTTAACCCCCTTTGGTATAAGCTCGGAGATTTCTTGACCCTTTACATCCTTTATCTTTTTCGCTTTAATAACCTTTTTCTGTGTGACGGGCTACGTTACAAAAATATCGGCAAATAAGAAAAAAACGCGACGCTTACCATGATATACCAGTGCTAAGTAAAGCGCTGACGAAAAGTAGAGTCATTTAAACACGTTTGTGTTGATGGAAATTAAATGCAAGATTAATAGATAAGCTGAAATGTACAATTGATTGCACAATTTAATTGATTATTTTGTTTTTTTATTTTATGATTATAGATAAGAAACGTTGTATTAATATATATTATAAATAACTTGTCGGACTAATTTACATTCATTGCTATTCATTTGCATTCAACACTGTTTTTTAAATTAAATGGTACTCCCATATAATTTAATTAATTATAAAATTCAATTGTTTCAATAGTTAATATAATATCAGATATCAATAGTATTTTGAGATTTTCATATTAGAGAGCTAAGGATTTTATCTAGCTGAATATGAAAGCTTCGGAAGATTTATTAGAACACTTTGGAATTTTCAGAAGTCGTTTTTTTCAAATAGATTTGTACCTTAAGGATAAAGCTTTCAAGCAATTACCAATTGATTTGGTTTTAGAAGCTATATTTTAACCTTTTCTTCGTGTTGGAATTTAATTACAAAATTAACTTCATTTTATCGAAAATTCGAAAAGAGCTTATTTAAGCATTATGTCTGATGGCAATTTGGATTTTCACTGTCTCATGCCTTATTCAATCTTGTTCTTAAATATAAATTATATATCAATAATTTAATACCGCTTTTCTCAAGTAGGATCATAATTAAAAATGTTTTATTTATAATTGGTGTGTAGTTTTTGTTCTTTCAAAATTTTCAGTAATTATTTTAGATATCTCAATTTCCCTTTAATGCCATTTGACCTCTGATAACTGCCAATTAACTTGATGACTCAGTATTCTTCTTGCAATGCTGCCTCGTAAGCTTATTGATGAAGCCAAGGAATTCGTTAGTACTCTCAAACGTCATCCGGAACTTCTCCATTCCCCCGAGCTTAAATTTCTGAGAGATTATTTAGAGAGGTATTTCTTTGGGAATCGCGGTTCATTTTTTTAGCTTAGGCGCAACTATCTCATCACCCGAAAAACCGAAAACGCATAACCCACCGAAAAAGGAAGCCGATCATGAAGAAAAGCCTGAAGTTTTTGAAGAACCAGAGAGTGAAGAGTCGGAAGTTGAATTGGATATGACTGGTGTTATCGAAGAGGAGTCCTGTGACCCCCAGCCAATGGGCGATGACACCGTAGAAGTCACTGAAGAAATGGAAGCGAAAGCATCCGAAAAGCGGTCTGAAGCTCAAGCAAAGTTCTCTGAAAAGGAGTACCAGGCTGCCGCTGATCTTTACACTGAATCTATTTTAGCAGACCCTCGTCGTGCTGTTACCTTCGCCAAAAGGGCAGCGTATGCTCGCATAAATTCTGTCTAAGCGTTTTAAATTTAGTTGCTTTTATGAGTTGAAGAAACCGAAATCTGCTATTCGCGATTGTGATCAGGCCATCAAACTTAACCCCGATTCAGCCGCCGCTTTCAAATGGCGTGGTTTAGCCAAGAAGTTTGTCGTTTTCTGATTACCATCTCACCATTTAAATTTTAGGTCTCTTGGGCAATTCGAAGGCGCTTACTATGACCTTACAAACTCCCTTAAAATTGATTACGACGACGCAGTCAATGAAGCCCTGAAAGCCGTTACACCTAATGTTGGTTACTTCACTTAAAATCTAAATTTCCCTCTATAGTTTAAACGTATCCACGAGCACAAGTTAAAGTGGGATCGCAAACGAGAGGAAAGGAAATTTATGGAGCTGAAAAAGGCGCGTGCCGCTAGGCAGAGGGCCTATGAGGAGTCGAAGAAGTCCGAAGAAAAGGGAGGAATGCCTGCGGGTATGCAAGACATCTTTGGTCAACTCTTTTCCGATCCCGAGATGATGGCTGCTATGCAAGATCCTGAGCTCCAAGCAGCTTTCAGTAAAGGCATGTCTGACCCCAGCGCTTTTTCTGCTGCTGCTAGCAACCCTAAATTTGCTAATCTCATGAAGAAGATGCAAGAAAAGATGGGAATTCCTGAGGAAGCCGGTGATATTCCACAACCACCACCATTTAGTGGTGGTGTTCCGTGTCCAAATCCCCCGGGTGAAGACGGTATGTAATTTATTTAACTCTTGTGCTCATTCTCATCTTTTTTTCCTTTTAGATTTGGATTAGACGCATCTAAAGCTAAAATTTAACTGTCATTAAATCCTGCCTTAAGGCAATTTTTTGTTATAATGTTGTAGAAATCCAATGTGTTAAATCAATTCAACGTTTCGTATCACAAAAATTGTACCTTTTGATTGGGATATCTGCTATTACTGATATGTCAGACATTGGTGTCTCAGTGGTCAGTAATAATGTGTCTAGTCAGGGGTGCTGAGAACGATTCACGTTGATGTGAATGGTTTCTCATAAGGGGGGACTTTAGTGCATTTTTCGAATACAATCGAGTGTTGTCAACCATTTCTTTACTGCAATGGGAGGTTGAAAAAAAACTAGAAAATTAATGCCCTCTAAGATCGTTATATATTCTTTTTGTATTTAGTGTGGTTTGTTGATCTTCAACTTTCGAAGTTTTGAAGTGCAGCGTAATGGACCTGTTCGATGTATTTATTGATTTTACTAAAATCGATATTGCTAACAATGTGAAAGGCAAAATTTTAATCATTGTTTCTTGTTTGCACAACTTGGTTTGAGTGGATTATTATATTAATCATTTCACTTAAAATACGGCAATAAAGGCCACACCTACCGAGTGTTTTATAAATCGGTCTGGAATAGTCAAATACATAGGTTCATTTTGGCTGATGGGACACATATTCGGTGATAAGCAACACCACGAATAATAGTCAAAACTTATCAAATATTGTGTCTACAAATTCCTCATAAAATGACTAACGCAGAGGAAGAGCTAGTGATTCTAGGGTGACTTTAATTCCAAGTTAAATAATTGTAGGGACTCATTCAAATTAGACGTGATAACCCATCAGAGAAATCAGTATTTCAAATGGCAGGCTTTATGATATTTATCATTAACCCCTTAGTTGACTTCAGCTTTCCCCATTAATGGGGGTACATATATAGCAGTTCATTAGCTGTCTTCCTGCTTCCCACTATCTCTGGGTTTCCATCGTTGTCTTTAGGGCTGGACATCGAATCAGGTGGGTCTTTCCTTGTCTTTAGGGCTGGACATCGAATCAGGTGGGTCTTCTTATTTCATCCTGTAGGTTACGTAGGGGGCATGTGGGTTGAGTGTATGCTCCCAATCTGTGA